TTTCCCTACACCTTTGGTAAAGTCCATCTATGTGGGTGGAGCTGTCTCCTTACAGCGAGATGGTTGCAGGTTCAAATCCAGCTGGTGCATTTTATTTGTGGGTTTTCAGAGATCCAGAGATTCTTTATTGTCATTTCCAGGTACTCCAGTTTCCTCCTGCACAGAGAAACTTCACGTTGGGTTAATTGGTAACTCTAAAATTGCCTAACCCTGGGTGTCATTGAGAGCATAAATGGTTGTCCTTGTAATGGGCTGGTGACCTTTTCAAGTTGTACGCCGCCTCTTGCCCAATGACTGCTGGGTTACGACCCTGCATGGAAAAGCAAGTAAAGACAATGAATGGATGAGATTTTTCATACCAGAAGAAAACACAAATCAAAGACAAATAAATCAAAGATTTCTGGAGCTTTAGCAAGTTTTGCTGATGGTCCCTTATAAAAAGACACGTCACAGGAAAGATAAACCTTCCAACCAGCCAAAGAGTGGGAAGAGGACACATTTCTGACGAGTGAATCCTGGAATTTGAGTGACAGCACCTCTTTACGACTCACTAACATGACTTTTTTATTGACTTCTTCATTGCACCATACAGTATTCAGAGGCTGCCAAGCTCTCATCATCACCAAACCCTGATCCAGATTAGCTTCCATTCCAAATCTGACTTTCACTTAAGTGCCTACTGACAAGTCTATACGTAGATTTTTGTCTGCCTGCTGGCGCTGCTTTTTGGAGCAGCCGGCTGCAAAGTATTTTGAGGACAAATTGGATTACATACCACCTGGGTATTTCCTTCCTTCTACCCTTGTTTTTCCCAGATTACATCAGAGGAGAGGTTCCTTCAGTTGTTAGTAGGCACATACCTCACAGTCACCGGGGAGGCTAGTTTAAAACAGAACGGGTGTAATGAAATATATGAAGGGAGGCAGAAGGCACGACGGTCCTTCCTGTACAAGGTTTTCTGATCATCACATTTAAGATAAGAGATGGTGATCTAGTTTCTGTTTTTGCAATTTGTGCATGTGTGTGACTTTGAATGGTCGCCTATTGTTCGCATCTGGCCTAAACCCAGTCCTTTTCTGTGTTCAGATCATAAATAATGAACAACTGAGAGGGAAATGAAACATTATCCATATAAAACTCCCCGGGGTGTCTTATCTTGAATGAAACTCATTCATTCCTGTAATATCATGATCACAGCGTTAAACCTCGGCCAATTATAATACCAATATTGAGACAGATAAACAGTATTCCCAACCACAGTCTGGGCTCCTTTTCCCAAAAGCCATTTATTAATTATTCTTCAAAGTGAACGGCATGCATTCATGACAAAGTGAGAGCTCTCCTGGGTCAGGTCAGTGTTGTGAAGCTTTAATGGAGAAACAATAAGTGCAGGACAATGATTTGAGGGCCAGTGCATGAGAATTCAGTTGCACTTTACGGTGTGTTTGTGCAGAAGAAACCATGGTCAGGACTTGATCCAGCGAACGTAGAGACCGCCTCTGTTGTGTATATTTTTGGTCAAAACCTCACATAACAACTTGGTGCGGTTTCTTGGCTTTTCGACCCATCTGAAACAGCTGACACAGGGCATGTAGGTGGGTGTGTGAGCTTTGAGTTGAGGTAGTGAAAGGCCCGGGTAGACAAGTTTTTTATTTTTTGGTAACTCCATTAAATAGAACCCCAGGGAAGTTTGGACGACTGACAGCTGAGGTGGAGCCTGAGGGAGCTAAGCAGGAGGGAGAGTGTTTTCATGTGTTTATGTGTGTGTTTTCCTTCACAACTGGGACTTATACATATGCCCTCAGGCCATACTTCACCGTGACGGGGGTATACTCAGGGGTGTAGAAGCAAGCCTACGGAGAACACTCATGCAGTCCTCTGGGGAGCAATGCTTTTAAGGTGCGGTTCCCCAACCTCCGTTTACTTCTAATGTGCCGAATCAGTAGATGGTAGAAACCCAGAGAGTATCCCTGACACTAATATGGAAAAAAGCCTGTTTGGAGTGAATATAAGGGCAAATATTATTCTTCCTGAGCGTAACCACGGCGAGCACCTCTGACCTGGCAGTGAAAGTGCAGAAACAAAAAGCCCAAAGACTTTTGCTGCTCCATCAAAGGCGAGCTACATAAAATAAACATGGCCATCAGATTACCACGCTGAACACGGGGCTGCGTTAGTCCGTGCCGACCGACCTGCCGCCCAACCCCACAGTTCTATGGGAGTTAAGTGTGGGGTCCGCTCAGTCAACACCATGACGCAAAATGGAACAAGACTCTGACAGAAGCCCCAGGCTGATGGAATAAGGCCCCTGCCCACAGGCCCACAAGCCCCCCAGGCCCTAGAGAAACGTACTGAACGAGAACAGGAGAGACGACGAGGAGAGGAGAGGGGAAAAAGGTAGACAAGGAAAAGAGGAAAAGACCACAGGTTCCAAACTGATGCCACTGGCTCTGTCCCAAGCTGAACAGCGCACGCATACATGCTCTGCTGCAGCGGCAGGTCAGGACAGAGTGCCGCCAGTGGAGACAGGGCAGGGAAGGGCAGGGCAAGGTACGGCGGTTGGCAGCAGCGGCTGTAGCAGCCAGCAAGACTGTGAAACAGCCTTAATGCATTAGATCTGACCTCACAGGGGTTCTTTTATATCCCTGCATGCACCTCTGTCAGTTTGGTTTTTCAATGTGAGCGTATGTGCCTTAAAAAAAAAAAAAAAAAAAAAACGTGTTTATGTTTGGATGACGTAACTATGAGGAAACAGATGTGTCCCAATGGGTTTTCTTCCGGCCTTTTTAGTCACTTCACCGAGGCTCCACTGTCCATGTCAACCTCATCTACACCCTGTCATTTGTCCGACGCAGTCCGATTTCCCTCCCAGCACCTCTGACCTTCTCCTCAGTCATCTCTTACACCCCCAGTCTGTCTTTCTGTCTGCCCGTGACCCAACAAAGATTCCCCTGCTCCCTTGTTTCCTTCCTGGCCTTAAGACAGGAGTCAGCCTTAGGCCATGCAAAATATTCCACTCTCACTTTGTTTTAGTTCAGAGCTGACTCTCTGGTGAGCGACGTGTCTCGTCCAGTCAGGCTTTTTAAACATTTTCAGTCTGGGACGCAAAATGACAAACCACATTCTGGAGTAATTTGGACCCAAACGGTCGTACTTTCTCGTCTGATTCCCTGATAGAGCCTGTCTCACTAGTTCCATCTTCTCTCCCCCCACCCACCCCCCAGAGAAAGACCTCACATTCTGACCTTTTGGCATTAAGTGCAACTTGAAAACATTCCTCATACTCCAGGCTTTGGGATGACGCAGGGCTCAGGTAAAGTGTTACCAGATAAGACATCGAGGCCCTGCCGGGTCGGAGCTGTTTGTGTTCAAGTGTGCGAGAGCCACGGGCTTTCTTTTTTTTTTTTTTTTCCCCTTCTGATTCCTGAAAGTTACTCCTGTGTGCTACAATGAACACAATCACTGTGGTCCACTGGGCCTCACACCAGCAGCGCTGCGTAACACGCTCGCCTCCCTACTGTTCCCCTTTTTTTCTTTTCATCCTTTTCTCCTCTGACTCAGCTGTTTTGTAGGAAACTCCGTCTCTTTGAAGAAGGGAAGAATCTTTCATTACTCCACAGCGAGGAGAGGGAAGGAGATGATAGGTGCCGAATGACTGCACCATTGTTTTTAACCCCTACTCCCTCTTTCCTTTACCGACCAATAATAATTGTGCTAATTACAGAGAGCCTCTACAACAGGTGTGGGGCAAAGCACCTGGGCGAAGAAGACGTCTGTGTGCAAATCTGGGTGAAAGTGTGCCTGACAGTTTGTCTTCATCAGTGATTTAGATCAGAGAACACGGAGTGTGTCACATGCTTACTAAACCTCCTTTGTTACCCGCCACAGACTCACATCACAACAGGCAGTGGTCACCACAGACTGCACTACTATAACACAATCGTGGCATGGATCTATACCAGCCTGACCCCCCTCCTCTCCCCTCATCTGCGTTTAATTATAAACCTACTACATCTGTATGACATTACTGGCCGGCTGAAATTAGCACACAAACATGGCCTCCCTCTCACTCACTCGCCACATTGAATTTCAAATGAGAGCGATTACAATCACCTAATTGACAAATGTTAACCACAGAGCTCTTCTTTACATGATTCATGATCTATAAGCGGTCGTGTTTTTTTCGAGGGGAGAACCTGAGGTGGGTGAGGAGGGGGGGGGAGTGGATGATGTAAGCAGAGCTTTCTCATGGGACTGATGTTTTGTCAAGCCTTTTACTGTAAAGGAGCTCTGAGGAGCTGACCGGAAGAAAGAAAGCCGTTTGGCTGCACACCAGAGGAGCAGCACGATACGTTTAGTTTTCTGAGACGTCACGGGGCCCTCCATCTCAAAACAAAGAAAGGAGCTGTGAATTATTTTTGCAGGACATCTGGCAGACTAGACTAAAGAACTGACTGGACAGGACAAACGTGGCCAACGAGTTCATTTTAGTCACTGTGGATGGTGAAATCACCTGACTGAGGGTTCCTGACAGCTGCGTTGTGATGAATTAAATCAACTTTTTATGGGACTGCACCACAGTAATGAAAGTAGAACCAGCACGCCTCATCAACCGACTTCTAAGTCGTTCAAAGTGGGCCTTTATGACCGCTTTAGGCCAGAAATAAAAGAAAGCAAGGTGGTGCTTTTGAAGCTGTTGATAATGGTTCAGCTTCTTATTTATCTGCAGACTCATCATTTTACGCCAAAGGGGAATGAGTCCTGCATTGCCACCTTGTGGAAGTTTTTTTTTTTTATGTTGTGGGAGATGAGAAGTGCCAAACCCCAGGGGCCCCTGCTGTGGGAAACAATAACCAAACGGAAACCGGGAAGGCTTTTAGACAAGAATTCAGCATTTTATTAAAAACAAGTCATTTGAAAACATTCAGGGAAGCCAAGAGAAAGAGTCACAGAAAGCATAACACTGTGTGGCCCAGCAGATATGAGTTTTCACTCCCTGGTTTAAACTGACTCAGACATAACAAAACCAGTATGTGTTTTGTTTGGAAATATATATATATATATTTTTTAAAACGGAGTAAATGAAACGATACGATCAATGGACGCGCATCCAGTTCAAATGTTTTCTGGTGCTTGCATTCTTCAGAGCCGGGTCCTCTGATTAGCAGGGAGCTCATCCTGATCGAGTCCCCACAGGAAAGTGCGGAGACGTGTCACTTCCTTTTGGAGCTCGGGGCTTGGGATTGGCTGCGAGAGGTCAAGGCGGGGCGTCTCATTGGGCAGGATGAGAGGAGGGTGGTCCAGAAAGCTCTCGAAGATGTCTAAAACATGACAAAACAAGGACAGGGAGAAAAAAATTAAAATAAAGCAAATAATTGTTGAATCCACACATTTGTAGGGTTTAATTATTTTACCTCCGCTCAGATCTGTGCCGGGTGGAGGAGCCCAGGAGGCTGGTGGAGCTCTGGTGGGTCCCAGTTTGTAATGAGTGAGCAGGTGGTGTAGCTGGGCAGGACTTACCAGTTCATGCTCTTCTTTTAGGCTGGACCAGGAGGACTGAAACACAGAGCCCATCAAAATCTCAAAGTATGGCTCTCAGCTGCTATCACACAAAGTTTTGGCTCAATGGCTGTAAAACTGACTGGAATATAACCATTTCTGAGTTTGTCAAAGCTACTTCAATATGGCAGCTATCATAAAATGATGTGACTCTAAGAAAATCAGTTGTAAATGATGGTTACTTTCTGAGTATTTTGTTAAAATCCATTCCCTGGTTCACGAGATATTTTGCTAACACAACAGACATGCACGCAGAGACTGCATCCACTTATATTTGTTGTTCTTGTCCAAACGTGGTGAATTCTTACAGGATATTTAATTTAGTGAAACCTCTGCTTTTATAGAGGTGATGCTGGCGTGTGTTACCTGAATGAGTCGGGTTTTGGGAACGCACAGGAAGTTGACGGTGATGGACAGCTTCTTCATAAATTCTGAAGCTATGTCTCCTAGCCCTGCCCCCTGCAGCCAGTCCAGAACCAGGTCCAGGTTTGTACGGATCTGGACTGCTCTGGACCATGAAAACAGCCCGTCTGGGGGGGGGGGGGGGGGGATGAGGTAAAAAACACAGGAAAACAAACACAAAAAAAACATGTAAAACTGGAGGAATTGCATTTCCTGTGAAAATGCAGTGTGAATGCTTATTGCAGAAGAATTTGTTGAAAAACAGCCAAAATTAGCTAAAAACATGCTGAAATGTAGCTGAAATGAAAGCACAAGCCTAAATTATCAGAAGAAAGCAGAAAGAACACATACTGTAGTAGCAGAATTAGGGTTAAATCAGCAAAAATGAGCACAAAAATTAGGAAAGAAGCTAAATGAGCAAAAGTCATCTAAAAAATAGAAGAAAATGCAGAAAGAAACAACCTACGAGAAGGAAGTGAACGAAGCTGAAATGAGCTAACAATGTGAAATTAGCCGAAAAAGCTCAAATTTGCATAAAACAGCTAAATAGGAGCAGAAATAGCAGAAAAAACTTAAACTAGCTGAAAAAAAACTGAAAGGAGCATGACAAGCTGAAATTAGCAGAAAGAAGTTAGTTAGGCTGAAAGAAGGAATTACCAAGACAAACTTGAGCTTATCTGAAAACAGCTGAAATTAGCTAAACATTTTCTTAAACGGTAGCTGAAAAGATAGAACGAGCTTAAATTAGCACAAGAAAGCAGAGAGAACACACGTTTGCCCAGTTAAGCTGAAAAAAAGCAGAAATTAGCAAAAAAAAAGTAGAAATTATCTGACAAAAAGCTGAAATTAGGAGAATAAAAAAGCTAAAAAGTAGCTAAAAAATGAAAGAAGCTGAAATTACAAGATAGAAGTGGAGAGAGCACATTTTTTCTAAAGTGGGCAGAAAACAGTTTAAATGAGTGCAAAAAATGTAGAATTAGCTGAAAAAGCTTAAATTAGCATAAAACAGCTGTAGAGTAGCTGAAATAGTAAAGCGGAAACACAGAAATAAGCTGAAAGGAGCATAACAAGTTGAAATAACCAGAAAGACATTAGAAGAAGCACAAAAATGTTGTAGTTAGCAGGAAGAATCTAAACGGAGCACAAAACAGCTAAAAAACCCAGCTGAAGTTAGCTGAAAGTAGCTGAAAAAATGTTTAAATTTGCACATGGAAGCTGAAAGAAACGGAACCAGAACAAAGGAGCAGTAAAATGTTGTAAACAGATCCAAAGATTTGAAGGCTATAAAATATATTTTATAAAAGTATAAAAGTATTTTTATATCCTGTCACTTCAGCGATATATTCTAACTGTTGCTTTATGACTCATGGTCGTTACTTGTTCTGCTCGGCGCCCTCTCACCTCTTTCCAGCAAAGTATTTAGCAGAGATGTGTTGGTGAAGAAGAAGAGGTAACCAAAAGTCTGGGAGGTGAGAGGCGGAGACAGGCACGCCTCACGAGACAGCATCAAGGAGCAGCGATACACTTCCACCAGTCCAGCAACCTTTGGAGGCAAGATGGACACGTCATCCACTTCTCCTTCTTTTCTCTCTTCTCCCTCTGCACTGCCGGCTGCGTCCTTCTCTTTCTCCTTCTCGTCGTTGGAAAAGGGGTTAGTGTCCAGGAGAGCTGGAAGTAGGGAGTACAGGGTCTTTGTGGGCAGACAGGACAGAAACTTTAGTTAATCCTTTGACTGCCCATTCATTCTAATTCAGCACAAACATTTAATATCCAGGGACCCTTACTTTTTCTGCTGCACCAGTGTTAGATCATAATTTGAAATTACTCATGAAATGTCTGAAAACAAATCAACTGGAACACTCATTTCATATTTTTCATGGGGTAAATGTTTATTTTTAATGGAATGAACCACCTTGTATTTAAACAATAATTTGGTTTAGTCTAAGTAAAAATTGTGTGTTGTAGTAGTAGTTTAAGGCGGAGCGGGGGTGCAGAGGCTAGAGAGGGTGGACCTGTGATTGGAGGGTCGCCAGGCAACTCCTCAGACCGACAACATCAAAATGTGTGTGGAAAGGTGAAACACCTGCACCTGCCTCCACCCTCATTTGCCCACTCTGGGCCCACGAGGAAGGCCCCTGACCCCTCCCTCCCCCACAGCTGCTCTCCCGGCACCACATGTGTGTGCGCACATGTGTAATGGGAAAAATGCAGATGATTAATTTCCCCATTGGGGATTAATAGAGTACAATTAAAAAAATAGGAATAAGTATCTTACCTGTAGTAGCTAACTGAACAGAACAAATTTCTGCCACCTAAAACAACATAAACTCAATTTTATTTCTTGTAGTTTGACCAATAGTAATACTTTCATCACCTTATAAGGCAAGTATTTCATTTGTCGCTAGTTTCTTCAAACAATATTCCATATGGCTGTGTGCAACTTTAGCATTATTTTATTTTATTTTTTTACCCTTTATTTATCCAGGTAGTCTCATTGAGCCACAAGCACTCATTTTCAAGAGAGACCTGTTTAGGGAGCAGATGGTGGGGGTTAAGGGCCTTGCTCATGGGCCCAGAGTGAGGAGAATGAGGGTAGGGGCAAGTGTGGGTGCTTCACCTATCCCACCCACATTTTTGATGTTGTCGGTACCGGGGCGTGAACCGGCGATCTTCCGATCACAGGCCCACCTCTCTAACCTCTGCGCCACCACTCCCCCAAATTATATATTCTACCACAGGTCAGAGTTTTCTGGTGTAAACCCAAAACAACCTCTGCAGACAGTAAAACTGAGTGGTTCAAAAGCAAAGACAACAAGTTGCTGTTATCGACATATAGCATAAATAGACACAGGAACATAATGTGGAAGTTGAAGCCAATGAGTGACCCCTGAAGTGGCTTCAGTACAGTGTAAACCAGTCCAAACAATGGAGGGGTCCTTTCCTGTTGCAGGCCCAACAGCCTGGAATACTCTTCCCTATGAATTGCGTGCCATCTCTGATCTGGTTTTGTTCAAAGCCAAATTGAAGACCTATTTATTTAAAAGGGCTTTTGATGTTTAACTTTTAGTATTTTAGTATTTAGTATTTTTATCTCCTTTATCTCCTTTTATTGTGGCTGTGTTTTTAATTTGCTCTGATTTTCTGTGCCCTGTTTTTATTAGTTTTATCTTGTAAAGCACTTTGGTCAATGCAAGGCATTGTTGGAAGGTACTATATAAATAAAGTTTATTATTATTATTATGAAATGGGACATTTGCTGGCATATTTTCTGCTTAAAACACACTATGATTGTGTGAGGGGGACTAGGCAGGACGCTCAGCCCCACATCTCAAACGTGCTGACTCTGGCTCCAAACAAACAACATGGCAGCACCCATCACTTTAGAACAACGGTCATCACCGGACATACCCTTAACTTTGAAGTTAAAAAGGATCCCTATTAGAGCCAGGCTGCACAGAGGAACTGTTGATTAAGAGAGAAGAACTCCTGGAAGACTCAGCTGATCTGCAGTAAGATAACTTCATTACCCAGAGTGCACACTGTTAGTGAAGCAGCACTAATGGCGTTCACTTGTAAAACGGCAACAACGTAAAGGTTGTCTTTAACAAAAGTAACGAGATCTGCCTTAAATCGTGGAAATGTATTCCCTACTCTGTTCTGAATAGCTCTTTGCTTAAATCCTCCATGCAAACATCTCACCAATTCTCCAAACACAGCTCCATCAGACGTCTCTTTACTGCAGGTAAGATACTGAGTGCTCATAGCTACTTCACACAACCCCACTTCAAATAACAGTCTTTAACTAAGCAGTAAAAGGCCTCAAAGATGACTAAAAGTGAATTCCCCCTCCTGCCTTATTGAGACCTTGTGCCCCCCGCAGGTGTTTTGAAGACAGAACATCTGTTTCAGCTCATTTCAGGAGAGTTCTTTCTTCAGAAACGGTTGATTTTAATCTGGTAAAGAAACTGAATGGAGCAAAAATCTTGAGGCATGGGCTGTAAAAGAAGACGGCGGTTCTGCCCACTGAACACATCTGGATCCTGACAGTTATACTTGTTAGAGTTAGAGTTAGCAGGTTAGAGTTAAATGTTTTTATGTGAATGCACATAAAAAAACTACAAATTATGTCCTCAATAAGACCAGTTTCTTGTTCTTTGTGGAGTTTGGATCTTCTATGTAGATTTTTTTAACACAAATTCAAGTGAGGACGATATATGTTTTTTGCGTGTCTGTTTTGTTTTGTCGTACCTTGGTGAGGTGATACACACACTGCTGGAAGGTGTGCATGATGACATCATCCAGCTGTGCCAGCGCCTCTGAGCAGGTGTCCATGTCAGCTGTCAGAACCGGATCCCCGGGGGCTTTCCAAGAAACAATCGGTGAGATCAATTAGAGGCTCAACGACAGCTTTTATTTCTGAGCTGACACAAAAAAAAAGATTGCTGCTAATTTGAAACTGTCGAGCTCCTCGAGCCAGTAATTTCCACCGTTTCCAAACTCCCCATACCTTCAAATTCCCACTCCTTCTCCATGTTTTCAACTTTGACCTGGAAGAAGTTCAGCAGCTCTGTTGCGTTGGACATCCAGAACATGAGGGGCCGCAGGTCGGACGACAGTGTTTGGACGTTGGGCGTGCTTATCTCCACGTCTTGCTCTGTGGAACTGCACGAGACGTTCGGGTGACTCCAGAGTTCTGTTATTCTGCACATTCTCCTGTGACTCGTTTGTTTGCGTTTTAAACCACACAGAGTAAAAAATAGGCCGAGCTATTATTACCCGGCTATATTTGAGCTTTTTCTTCAAACATAATTATTTTACGTTGCTGTCATCACACCGCAAAGATTTCCCCAAGATATAACAGCACGAGCACAACGATACCATGACTCACTCAGCAGGAGAGCTCTAAACAGAGGAAACATTACGCAGAGCAGAAAATCGTCTTACTTTTGCGTGGGATGCTTATCCCCGAATTCCTTAATGTTATCCTGCGAAGAGAGTTGGAGACACATCTTTTAGTGAGGGGGAGGTGGAGGAGGTGGGGTGACAGTCTGGCCCTGCAGCCAGGACAATTACAGCACATTTTCCAGCAGGAGGGAGGTGACATCAGCTCATCCTCGCTCCTGTTCGCCACCCCGGCAGGCCACAATGAAGGCCAATGTGTCTGCCTTTTTTTTTTCTCTGTCTGACTGAATGTGGTAATCTCACGTAGCCTACCTGCTGGTTTTCATTCCCCCTGCCGAGTTCGTTTAAGTGTCATGAAATGCTACATTTTCATTATGTTCATATACTGTAAAACCTTTCCACAGAACCCCACCTCAGAGGATTTGAACTGTCTTTTAAAAATTGTCTAACACCAAATCATGACCATTTAACCAAAAGTAACTACTTTAGCACAAGCTAATCTACATAAAAATATAAAAAAGTAAAGATCAAATTTACAGTCTAAGTAACACAGCAGCTGGTCTGGGTGATTTGATTTGTTGCATTTTTACCTGTAAGGTTCATTTTATGCATCATAATATGTGTTAGTGTTTTTATGCTTTGCTTACCCAGACGATCTCTTTGATCAGATTGGCTGATTTGAGTAATATCTGAGGTGTGAGAGCAGGGTCCAGGTGTTTGGAGGCGTGATCAATCATGATTGACAGCAGATATGCAGGAGCTAAAGGCCCCCCACCAGAGTCTGGAGAGGAATTTTTAGAGATTATCTCCTGAAAGAGAGAATAGAAATTAAAAAAATGTGAATTATGACACCATATTTGTTAAGAGTGGAGTTTACACCTACTGTCTGGGTGTCTCACCTGTAACAAGGTATCTGCGTGGCGGGAATGGAACTTCAACACTGCCTCAGTGGACCCCAGATAATTCCTCAGTGCCTCTTGTCTGTCCGCTACACCTGAAGGGCAGCAGGTGGTGGACATGTCGGCCTCCCATAGCAGCGTCAGTGCAAGCGGCGGGGCAGGGCTCACACGAGGGTCACGGTACAAGAACAGGAAGTGGTCTCCCAGACCAATCACATCCCCGGGCCTTAGGACAGTCTCCCTGTACATGGCCACTCCATTGTGCGTGACTACACCTCCTCTGAAGGGTCGCATCAGAGCTGGGGTGGAAGTTGATTTAATTAAACTTTATGTTTAATTGTTGTTTTTTATTTCACTCTTTTTAGATTGAGGGGTTTTGATACCTTGTCCAGTGGGCGTCTCTGGAACAGCAGCGTCTCTCCTGACCAGCAGGTGTCTGACCAAAAGGTCAGGGGCGGACAGGAACGTATCCACCTTCAGGGGCTTCTTCCCCTTCCTCTCTCTTTCTCTATCCTTCTCCCTCTCGTTTATTGTGGGTTTTCTCCCAAACACATGCGTATGCCCCGTCATGATGTACAAAACAAAGTCCTGCACAAAACACACATCAGACAATCATGGAGGTCTGTTATCAGCTAGGTTTATATCAACCTCCCATCGGACGTTAAGATGAACAGAAGGTTGTTGATAGAGACTGAAGTGTGTCACAGTTTGTAACAATGGGGACCTGTATGAGGTCATTGTGTGAGATGGAGTGATGTGCACAGAGGGGTTTTGTACACAGGATGGGTAAATTGTTGGGGCTTTGTGTTGCTTTGTGCTGGAATCTGAATGGGAGAAGCCTTCAGAAGGTTGGGAACCTTGATGGTATGTGGCGATTACAGACATGCAGGTATGATGTCATGTACTGGGTGTGTGCATGCGTGTTCCTCTGCACAGCTCTGTTAGTCTTCATTTGCATATGTGCACATAAGCCATAAGTGCTTATGTGCATGTTGGGTGTTGTTTATGGCTTTTTCTGTAAATGGTAAATGGACTACTTATATAACGCCTTTCTATCTTATCAAGATACTCAAAGCTCTTTACAGCACAATCTGCACTCATCTACCCATTCATACATCACTCTACTAGATCTATAAAAAGATTAGTCAGTGCTTTATCACATTCATACACCAATGGGACACACATCGGCAGCAATGAGGGGTTCAGTGTCTTGCCCAGGGACACTTCGGCATGTGACTGCTGGTAGAATCGAACCCCCAACTCTTGCACTGGAGGATGGTTGCCATAATCTCTCAGCCACAGCCGCCCCATACATCTGTATATGATATCATCTATCAGCATGCCTTGCCTTGCTCTGATCATAGCCCTGCAGCAACAGGAAGTAGGGCCGGTCTGTGGGGGGAAGGATCAGGCTTTGTGACATCACTTCCAGGTCACAGCTGGAGTAATCCTTCTCATGGTCTGCTGGCTGATTTGTCCATCGGACCTTCGCTTCAGCTCTCGATGCTCTGACCTGAAGAGAAGGTTGAATAAACGGTGGTTTGATGCCATTTATCCTGAGGTGAAATAGTCACCAGTTTTGGACAAAACACCTCCAGATTTATGAAAATAAGATATTTTAAATATTTGATCATCTTTGTTACCTGTCCTGGCTGTGGGCTGATCATGCTCACAATGTTCTTTCTGTCCGGCGCCACTTCGTTGTTGTTGGGGCGGTTGCCTGAACCACGCGGGTCATTGCTGACATGGTTGCCTTGACGGCGGCGCAAACTCAAGTTCATGTCGCTGATGCTTCGCCGGAGTTCACTGTTCCTTGCACGGTGACCGCTGTCGCTTCCATCTGGTCCCGATGACATTCTGCTCCTCCGCCAGCGCACACCTGTTGGGCAGACGATCACAGCGTCCATTTGTTGTGTAACGCATTAAGAGCCAGAGTTACCTTCACATGCTACCGTCTGCTGAGTGTCACACATACCACTGTGGCTCTCCCCCTTCTTCTCCCGCTCCTTCTCCTTCTCTCTTTCTTCTCTCTCATAGTCTTCCTTCCTTTGGATTTCAAAGCGTCGCTCAAACCCATCCTTAGGCCGCCACATGTCCACCAACAACAAAGGACATTCCCATGGGGCAACGCTTCTGCGGCACTCTGTCTCCCATTTGGTAGTCCCATCTGGCTGCTGGACAGGCTTTCCAATGACATCACACAACAAGAAGTCCTCAGGGCTGTGTTTCTGGATAACTAAAAGGTCATGAAGGAAGAGGAGAGCAGTTATTTTCCCTTAAACAGCTGCTTATTACCAACTGGTTGCACAGCAGAGATCCAAAGGAGAGAAAAACAGTTGTTTCTCATACCTGCATCTTCCGTCTCCTCCCGTTCTCTGTCCGTGTAGCGAGTGATGACCTGGTCGATGAGCTGCCTGGCTGTGGAGTGAATGTTGGCCAGCAGAGAGCGATAGTTGGCGCCGCCGTAGAGAGCATCCCCATAGATCTTGATCAGGCCTGTGGAGGAGCCAGTGGGCAAGTAGTGGTGGGAGGAAGGGGCAGCCGATTGAGCCCAGATCTCTCTCTCTGTCTCCCCCACCGCCCGGTCCCGGTCACTGTTGGAACGTCCCCGCAGGAAGAGATGAGAGAGACGCTTTGTGCGGGACTGGGGGCCAGCGGGCCGAGGCCTGAGGACGGCCGGGGAAGGAGACGGGGATGGGGAAGGGGAAGCCAGCGAAGGGGTGGAGTTGGAAAGGGAAGAGGAAGGAGCAGAGGGGGCCTCGTGGAGCGAGGCTGCGTCAGAGCTGGTAGTGGACCTGGACACACCAGAGAGGAAGAAACAGATGGAGGGGACAGGAAGGAGAAAGGAAGTCAGGAAGTCAGCTGTAAATTATTACTGAAAAACAAAGAGAAAAAGACGGGAAGATAACCGTCCTGAAAATATATTAAAACACATTAAAACAGCTGCGACTGCGTCAAAAACAACCTGTTGTGTTGGCTGCAATGAAATAACGATGGTTAAACCCACAAACTCTATCAGAGCAACTGTGCCATTACACCAGACACCAGTTTAAAATACTCAAGTTCAAGGTTCTTTACTGTCATTCACATCGCATGTGGTACATGAGGTGGAACGAAATTTTATACTCAAGGTCCCAGTTATATACAAAAATAGCAAAAATTACTGTGAAAATAACACAAAATAATAACACAATAATAATAATTAAATAAATAAATAATAACTCAAAAATACTGTGTTGTTTTGTATCTTCTGTGTCTTCCTGTCTTGTGTGCACCATATTTCTGCCATGCACTGTCACAGCAGCACGCTCTAGTGACAACAAGTACAAACAGCAACAGAACATAAACACATTCAACATGTAAACCATGACACAGTCCTATTTGTAATCCCGTTCTAGGTTAAATTCAGACTAAACCAACCCTGGGTAGTTTTACCTCAGCAGGGCTGAGTTATCAATTCAACATCAACGGACCGGGTTAAGTTTTCTACTCAAAAAATGAATTAAATGTGTCTTTTTTTATTACATAAAGTGACTAAAAAGACGAGTTAAAACTAATTCAAAGTCTGCCTTGATTCAATTTAGGTTGGTGCAAGCTAGCTGGTGCTAATAGTGTCAGTTATTTAGCTCAAACAAGTGTCATTTTAGGAACATAAATCTAGGGGGTCAAAATTTATTAATTTTTTATTTTAAATAAAATATTTATATGTATTTTTTAACACAATAGATCAAAAACCAGGTTTGAGTTAAAAAAAAAAAGCACACCAAGGGTATGGGCCACTGGGCACCAACTTTTTAGGGAAGGCCATAGCCCCCCCCGGCCCCCCTTGGTGGTGCCCTTGTTAATGAACCTAACCAGGTCAAACATCTTCTTAATAGTTTCCTGATGCATGCTTTTTTTTTTTTTGAATGTCCAGAGGACCAGATTTAACTTTTTTTTAGACTTCTTAATAGTTGTTTTAATCGTCTTTCTTTTACTTTTTACATCCTAAAGCTACCGTGGCCCTGAAGCATAAATGAACAACATTTTAAAAAACTGAATTACATTAAGCAAAAGCAGAAGTGGCTGAAGCGGAAGTGGCCGGAATCACATTTGAAACAACGGAATGACATTAAGCCAAAGCGGAAGTAGCCAAAGCGGAAGTGGCCAGAATCAAATTGGAAAAAACGGAATTACATTTTGGCTTAATGTAATTCTGTTTTTTTCTAATGTGATTCCGTTTTGTTCAAATGTAATTCCGTATTGTCAAATGTTGTTTATTTACACCTCAGGGCCACCGTATAAAGCAGAGGTCCAGTTAAGTTCTATTTGGTTACCTTCTGGTTTAAAATGGTGAACAGTGAAAAATGACACAGTTAATCTTCAACCGAACAACAGGGTCAAACTTTTTGACTCAATATTTGGTCAAACCAAACCAACCTCTGACCCTACAACTTTAACTCAACTGAGTCATCAAAACAACACAGCTTTTTTTAGTGTGTATCAATGGAAGTAGGATAATCAACACACAAATTCTTATGATGAAGTATACTATAACTGACGGTCATGAAAAAATAGGAAAAAGAAGCCAAAAAGATTAGAATAATTTCAGACTGACTTGACAGAGATGGCGCTGGGCCAACGGCGTCCTAGTTTGGCAAAATGTTTCCTGGGAGAGTTGATCCACAAACCGACTGGGAAGTGCAGCTTTCTGAAGCGAGGACTGCCAGGCCCCTCCATCTGACCAGGAAGAACGCACACATGAAGCTGATATTTATTTCTATTTAAACATTTCAATAATCTGTCGTGTGTCAAGATTCTATAAATGTAATGTTTTCACCAGTCTGTGCTCGAGCTGCATGTGTGTTTCATCAAAACCTGGACTGAAACAATAAAACAATGATGTGATGTCATTATCGAAAAAGAACAAACAGGATACCTGCAGTGGGCTGTCAACATGGTGAAGACAAACAAGAAGAAATGCCTCCTGTCCACACACACGCACACACTCCTCAAAAAAAGCCCCTGAAAATCCTCAAACAGGAAGCGTGTTTTTCAGGACTCATGTCCAGCTGTCGCAGAGACCGGGAAAATCCCACTTCAAAGGTCACTACTGTCCATTTCTCAGCGATGCTTCTATGTTAAAATTCCTGTTGCAGGTCAAAAACACCTGTTTTAATTATTTTTTAAATCAACCCTAGGATCAAAGTTTGATGTTACAGGTAAACATATTGAACCTGTGTGAAAAATCTACCAGATTCCCTTAAAATATCAACCGTGACGACTTACAACCTGCCATGAACATCCACACAATTAACCTGTTTTTGCCTGTTTACTGAGCCTCTTTTAGTTCATGTGCCGATCTCTACCAAAGACAAAAAAAAAAAGCAAAATAAAGAAATTGAAAAAAGTTTTTATGACACTTACCCACAATTATTTCTGTGAAGCGATTTATGATTATCCTTCGTCGCCAAACTATGAAAATGCAGCTTAAAGAGCCCCAAAATCTGTTCATGTGTCCTCCTCACGACAAAAAAATCATTTTTCAAAAGGCCTCAGCTCATCACGCACTTATAAAGACATCTTTGATGCTAATAGTTTCTCAGTTTTGTCTTCTCTTTACTAAAAAGTACTTCTTAGTTTTTCTTTTTAAAGGGGTTTGGATCTGCTGCCTCCCTTTTTCTGGTTCTCAGCCGCTCTGGGTCTATAGATAGAGTAACGGGCCTATTGTTCCAAGTGACAGAATTTCCTTCCTTTGCTTTGGACAACACCTATATCCTGACTGGGGGAGAAAGAAAAGAAGAGATTGGTAGAAAAGGAGGGAAGGGTAAATTTACACATATGTGAGCTTATTCATCTTCATCAGAACATGATGTTACAACAAATAAATATAAATCTCTTTTTTTGGTTTGTTAAAAAGACTCCTTTGTCCTAATGTGGATTAATGGACAGTCAAAGTTCATGAAGGAGTAATGTTGTTGCCATTCAAACCAGGCAAACTGCTGGAACTTCTAATGGGAGAAATATCTAAACAAACTCAAAAAAACTCCTCCCTGAGATGTTTTGCTGGATGAAGGAAACACACACAGTGACAGGAAGTTTTATGTAGACACCTGTGACCCTTGACCTGGTCTTCCACAGGAAGATGCTGTCAAAAAAGGACAAGTCTCAATTCATGGCTGTTTGTTTCTTATGTCTAGACCAAAAGTGGACAAAAAACGCTTCACCACTCCTAAAAACCTATAAAACTGAACGTTTTGTTTACGAATAAAACAAATAGTTTAACACACAGAACTTGTTAAAATAATTTATAAAATCCTGACATCTGAGAGGATGTTTGTGCTCACGTCAAAGCCATATTGGCGTCAAATCTTACGCAAGAGCGCTACGACTTCATTTCCCAGCATCCTCAGCGCGTCGCTAAAATCGACTATTTCCGGTTAAGACGCGAAAGTCGAGGTCCCAAGGTTAGTTGTGTGAACCTTCGAACTTTTACGCTTTTGTGAATCAGCTTCATGTAATCTAGTTTGTGAAGTTTGTGTTTGTTTCTTAAAAAACGCAGTTGACGTTCCGCTATTTTCTGAAGGTGTTTATTAAAGGCCAGAAACGGATAGCGTTAGCCGCATGCTAACTAGCATAATGGGCTACTCAAATTAATATTTTGTTTAGGTACAGTAATCTAAGTCTTAGCACTTCTTAGATAGTTCTTTAATGATGTTGTTTATCTCCTCATCTTTATTTGTTTGTTTTATTTGTAAGCTAATGGATTTTGTCTCATTTCACCATCATTAAAGCTAACGCACAAATATGGCAGACCTTCTTGAAGAAAACCTTCAAAACTACAAGACCGCTCCGTTTGACGCCCGGTTCCCCAACACCAACCAGACCCGCAACTGTTACCAGAACTACCTTGGTGAGGACATGATAGAGGTCCACATGTATGACTGACTAAATGGTTTATGTTGACATTGTGAAGAAAGGTGGTGGTTCTGAAAGCTCCATAAACACAACTTTTATGCAAATGTCTTCTGGTCAATAACATTGTCACACATTTGTCACGAATAACTGGTACGGAAATTGGTGGTACTGCTCAATGTTTTTGTATTTGTTGTTCATAGACAACATTTATAGACTTTATTATAAGAACACAGCAAAACATGTTTTTTGAAACAAAACCTCTGATAACACATCCTTAAGTTGTTTTGTAAACACCAGCATGCTTTTATGTTTTTAGTCATTTTAAAATCTTGCAAAGCCACTATTCAAATATCCAGTTACTGTTTGTCATATTTGTAACCCTTTTTTAAATACCCTTTCCTGCTTCAGATTACCACAGGTGCAACAAGACCCTGGCAGCCAAAAAACAGGATTTGACCCCCTGCATGTGGTACCAGAAGGTTTATAAAAGCCTCTGTCCCATAAACTGGGTAAGTGGTTGGATTTACACATATGACCTCACTACTGTAAGCCTATGAATTTTTCTAAATTTGTTTCATAAAGAAAACGAATATCAGCTTTTTCTTTGCTATCCCACAATTTGTTGTTTTATTACTTAATGACAATAACAATGTTTCTTCTTTATGATATACAGCATATCTCTAAATATACTTTTATTTGTTGCATTTGAACCATTTGCTGTGATGTGATGCATGTAAAGCAGATTATGTATTGATTCTTGTTTGTAACAAAGTTTTTCTTTATCTCAACAGGTGGAGAAATGGGACGAGCAGGTAGAAAACGGAAGCTTCCCTGGAAAGATCTGAACCGTCCTGGTACTAGTCTGGGTGCTTTCGCCTAAATCTGTGTAGTGTGCATGAAAACCTTTTCCAAAACAGTTGTTACATTGTCATTTTCGTTGTTACCTCTGATGCTAGCTCATGCACAAATTGTAAAATCTGAAGGTTTCTTGTTTCTTACTGTGTTCTTAAGGAATACAGTGTAGAAATATTCCTACATTGTTTAATAGGAAGTTTTAGGATTTGGTTACATGGGTTTAACGTTTCATCAGTACAGTTAACAGACGGCAGACTTGAGTGGCTTCTCCTAAGGTAATCATTGTATGTTAGTTACTGTGCTTGTTCAGGGGGGAAGTAATGGAAATGGAAAATACTTTCATTGGTGTTTAAATCATTTCAGTGCTCCATGACTTGATTAAAGCATAAAGGAACTGACACTTCAATAATAGGCCTACCTCAAACACTCTGTAAGCATACACACGCTCACACACTGGTCATCTGAAAGAGTTTTAAAAATGACAATTCTAATAAACAAGTGTATTCGACTGGTTGAAGTTCAAGAGGCTGATCTTTTTTATTTATGGTTGTTTCGTAAAACAACTTGTTTCATCTTGGTACACTTCCAGTTTAACTTGTTCTCCTTATGGATTATTTGCTGCAGCCTTTAAATGTCTTGCTGACAGTAATGATGCCTTCAAAACCATGCATTTCTTTGTAAGATGGCTCTGAAAGTGGTGGGTGTCTTATTTACCAGGAGGTGGTGGGAGTGATGGAGCCAGCTGCTGGATTAGATGCATCTTCAAATGGTTACCACAAGGTGGCATCGTTAGATCAGTGGAAGAAAGCAGCTAATAGAACCATGGCAGGTTCACAAAAGTAGCAGAAATTAACCACAAAGCAATAGTCTACATTTGCTGACGTCCTCCCAGTACAGATGGGTCAAAATATCCAGAACACTGGACCGGAAGCTACAAATTATTTGCAGGAAAATGCATTATTCCTAGTTTTGTCATGGTTGGAGAAATATAAATCATGTATTTCTATTAACTTTTATTTTCTGTTTTTCAAAGCCCAAGATCTTTTTAAGTTAAGCATTATTGTACATGCTTTAACTTTATAATGGTTAAGATGATGAGCAAATGCATCTTTAGGACAAAATATAATGAACTTTAAAATCTAAACCTCACTTAGGTCAAGTTTGGGGTAAATTAAGCTGAAAGGAAAAGCTGAGGGGATGTTTTGAGACTAAAGAACAAACTGATATAACAATGAAGACAAGTGGAAGAAAGGAAATGGATTTCTTCAACTAAAACACTTGTTATAAAGGCATCATCTGAAGAATCCATAACTCATGGAGATAAGAACTGGAGCAATATTATATGGACAATTGTAATAATTGGCAGGAAATGACATTTTTATCCATCCTAAGCTAGATCCTTGTGAAGATCATCCTCCAGCAGTTAAATGGTGTAGAGACCAACAGCTGAGGAAAGAACAAGAGAACTTCTAAAAGGGGAAAGGATGCATAAACCAGATCTTTGAGCAGTGACAGCTTTACATGAACTTTGTGGACTTCGAGAAGGCATCTGACAGCATCCACAGGGATGGAGCCTTTAGTGTTTACTCAGTACATCTAGAATGCCTCAAGAAATTGTCCTCATGAAGAGCTTGTACCACAGTTTCACACACAAAGTAGGAAACTGCCCACATTTTTCAAGTGGAGCCATGTTCAACAGTCACCATTGACTCAGTGATGTGGCAAACGATGAAGATCAGGTGAGAGGCGTACGGTGGACCCTCAAACAGCACTTGAAGACCTAGTTTTTGCTGTTAATCTGGTTCTGGTGTCCCACACCCAACAACACTTCCAGGAGAAGACATTTTACCATAACACCTGCTCAGCAGACAGACCTGAACATCCAAACGTGAAGGGAACAGATCTACCCATGAGTGAGGAATTTACCTATTTAGGCAGCATTGTAAGATACGATGGAGGAGGAGGCAGTGACTTAAAGAGACGTCTAAGGCTAGAAAGGCCTTCAGAAAGCTGCAATGTTTGGAGGTCCCAGCAGGACAACATAACGACCAAGCTGAAACTGGACCAGAGTTATATACTGGTATATGGCTCAGAGTGCTGGATGATGACAGACGGGGATCTTAACATGATCCTCATTTTTCACACAAAGAATTTTGAAAACCTTCTGGCCCAGCATTATTTCAAATAAACATCTGTTTGCTATCTGTTAAGACAACGTGGAGGCCACCTCACCAGAAGTTGGAGGTAGACTGTGAATGCACTTGGGAAAGAACCTTCATGGTAACATTACTCACACAGCCCTACATTGGACACCAGAAGGCATGTCTACAGTGCCTTGCAAAAGTATTCGGCCCCCTTGAACTTTTCAATCTTTTGCCACATTTCAGGCTTCAAACATAAAGATATAAAAATTTAATTTTTTGTGAAGAATCGACAACAAGTGGGACACAATCGTGAAGTGGAATGAAATTTATTGGTTGAGTCAAACTTTTTTAACAAAAAAAACCCTGAAAAGTGGGGCGTGCAATATTATTCGGCCCCCTTGCGTTAATACTTTGTAGCGCCGCCTTTTGCTTCAGTTCCAGCTGCAAGTCTCTTGGGGTTTGTCTCTATCAGTTTTGCACATGAGACACTGAAATTCTTGCCCATTCTTCCTGCAAAACAGCTCGAGCTCAGTGAGGTTGGATGGAGAGCGTTTGTGAACAGCAGTCTTCAGCTCTTTCCACAGATTCTCGATTGGATTCAAGTCTGGACTTTGACTTGGCCATTCCAACACCTGGATACGTTTGTGAACCATTCCATTGTAGATTTGGCTTTATGTTTTGGATCATTGTCTTGTTGGAAGATAAATCTCCGTCCCAGTCTCAGGTCTCTTGCAGACTCAAACAGGTTTTCTTCCAGAATGGTCCTGTATTTGGTCCCATCCATCTTCCCATCAATTCTGACCATCTTCCCTGTCCCTGCTGACGAAAAGCAGGCCCAAACCATGATGCTGCCACCACCATGTTTGACAGTGGGGATAGTGTGTTCAGGGTGATGAGCTGTGTTGCTTTTACGCCCAACATATCATTTTGCATTGTGGCCAAACAGTTTGATTTTGGTTTCATGTGACCAGAGCACCTTCTTCCACATGTTTGGTGTGTCTCCCAGGTGCTTGTGTCAAACTTTAAACAACACTTTTTATGGATATCTTTGAGAAATGTCTTTCTTCTTGCCACTCTTCCATAAAGGCCAGATTTGTGCAGTGTACGACTGATTGTTGTCCTATGGACAGACTCTCCCACCTCAGCTGTAGATCTCTGCAGTTCATCCAGAGTGATCATGGGCCTCTTGGCTGCATCTCTGATCAGTCTTCTCCTTGTTCCAGATGAAAGTTTAGAGGGACGGCCGGGTCTTGGTAGATTTGCAGTGGTCTGATACTCCTTCCATTTCAATATGATTGCTTGCACAGCGCTCCTTGGGATGTTTAAAGCTTGGGAAATCTTTTTGTATCCAAATCCGGCTTTAAACTTCTCCACAACAGTATCTTGGACCTGCCTGGTGTGTTCCTTGGTCTTCATGATTCTCTCTGCGCTTTGAACAGAATCCTGAGGCTATCACAGAGCAGGTGCATTTATACGGAGACTTGATTACACACAGGTGGATTCTATTGATCATCATCAGTCATTTGGGACAACATTGGATCATTCATAGATCCTCACTGAACTTCTGGAGTGAGTTTGCTGCACTGAAAGTAAAGGGGCCCAATAATATTGCACGCCCCACTTTTCAGATTTTTATTTGTTAAAAAAAGTTTGACGCATCCAATAATTTTCATTCCACTTCACAATTGTGTCCCACTTGTTGTTGATTCTTCATAAAAAAATAAAATTTTACATCTTTATGTTTGAAGCCTGAAATGTGGCAAAAGATTGAAAAGTTCAAGGGGGCCGAATACTTTCGCAAGGCACTGTTAAAGAGGCAGACTAAAGAACACCTGGTGATGAAGAATAGAGGTAGAGATGAAGACCCTAAACCACAACCGAGGTACAATCCAGATGCTGACCCAGAACAGATGTCCAGGGCACCTTTCATGTCAATAGGCATACTGGTAGTAGGAAATGGTGATGAAACTGAACAGTGTTACCAGCGGTACGCATCGTTTATGATTGTCTATTGATGTCGCTGTTGTCATCACTCTTTGTTACAATCAGGTCTCTCTTGTAAATGAGTCCCTGAGGCTCAATAGGATTAACCTGTATAAATAAAGGTGGAATGAAAAACAAATTATGGTTGAATGTAGTAGACAGAGGAAAAAAGTATCGACCTATCAAAAGTTTTCTTATTTTTAATCAAAGCTTCAGATCTGGGAAACACGATGTGCCAAAACAAACAGCTCAAAGACGTATTGGATGGATGGTTCATAAAGTACTCACTGAATTTATTCAACACTGGAAACCACAGCAGTGATGAGTTGCATCAGAGGGAACTGTGTGGAAACGCACGCAGTTCAATCTTCTGTTTTAAAACATCAAGTTGAAAGTACATTCATTTTAAATGTCTACTTAGAGCACAAGGAAAGCCCATCAGAGCTGTGCAGAAACATGATTCTTGGTGTGTCCACTGTGACATTGTGACATAAATGACCCATTCATCGCAGAAAAACGGCACCAAAAAAACCAAAGAAGTTTTTATAATGTGTTGAATCATCAGATGAATCAGTCACAGTGATGGTTAACGTAAAAATAGGTTCAGTCAAGTACTAAAAATGTTGAATATCTTTTAAATGTTGGAAAGTTGACTTTAAACAGACCTGGAGTCTGAATTAAAGCCTGTTCACACGACTAAGGTGCTCAAGAAGCTAAAACTGAAAGATTTCAGCCACAAAACAACAAAACGTCCCACCGTGTCTCCAAGCACGTTTTAGTTTTAAGGCGAAAAGTAAAATTAGTCAAGTGGTTGTTGTGTAAAGTGAACAGGAAATGAATATCCTCTGAAATGATGTGAGACAGAGTGGGTAGCCTTTTATCACTTCCTGTACTCCTCTTCCAGTGTTCCTCGGCTTTGGCACTTTGCAGACGACTTCATTTCACTTTCTCAGTCAGATTATTAGAAAATCTACGACGAGGCATCTAATTCAAGAACAAGATCAAATGCCAGGAAAGCAGGACGCACTTTTAAGTGATCTTTTTACTTGCATTTTAGAAGCACTTAATGAGCTGAAAGCATCAGACCTGAACATGCTGCTCTCTGTAGTTCCTGTTCTTTTAATCAAAACAGCTAAACTAAATTTCTCAGAACTCACGCAGGAAAATGAGCCACTCGCATAAAGAGCCTGACGTGAACGCACTGCCTTGGTATATTCTTAATCGCTTCCTTCCCCGCCAAAAGACGGTCATATAATTTCTACTGAATTTATGACAGGAGGGGACAGTCCTCGGTGTCACACAGATGTTGCAAAATGAAGCGATTTAAAACTCTGTTATAGTGTTACTAAATCAGCTGATGATTAAAATAGGACTAAATAGAAACAATGTG